TATAATTTTCATTGTCATAATTACCATCTCAATGTCATTGTCATGCCACATGTCCACTGCATTTTGATGTTGCTTTAGAAAAAGAGTTAAAGTCTCAGGAAATTCTTGCTCTAACTTGGCTCTTGGATTTCATAAAAAAACCTATGCAGTTACACAAAGTCCTATATTAGTTACAAATCTGGGACAATAAAAAAGTCAATATAATATTTTTATTAACTTCCAAGCGTTTTCACACGTGCATAAAATATTTGTCACATTTTAGATAACCAGAAGGTTTTGTTCTCTTCCAATTTAAATTGTGTACTATGTTTTGAAGAGTATTTCAGGCAATGTTCTTTTGGCTTAATATAACTAACTACTCCACTTTTTAACAATTTGGGGCCAATGCCAACATCTCACATTACCTTGCAAAAAGTGCACCTGTTCACCCTGAACTTTACCCTCCGTCAGCCTGTCTGAAAAATCAGGCCCCCAGTGTATCTGCTGTAGTTATTGGTAGACAGTGTCCATGTTGTGGAAAGCAGTGAGAATCACTTAAGAATTCACACTGAAGGGATGCTGGGGGTGGGATTTTAATAAGCCATAACTGTTAATTTGTGACTCTGCGCACCATTGATGAACTAAAGCTGCAAGCATGAAACTGAAAAATCACTCAACATGTGTATAAAAATGTGCTGTGCGGATTCATTTACAAAAAAACAAAAAACAAAAAAAACACATTAACAAATTAAGACGTGTAATTATACCTCAAAAGTTACCACAAAACAGTTCTTCATACAAATGTCCATGAATAGAACTATGATGCAATCCACCAATCAAGATCAAGTCCACATAGACAGTTCAATTTAGGGAGATCAAATTGTGTAAAAGCAGACACCTCCACCAAACCCCTTTTGGTCACACGCTCACCTTATGGATTGACCCTCATTAACAAAAGTCTTATTGTGCCTTTAATTAAGTTTACTGGACTCCATAAACCCAGCTGAACTTTCCCAGGGCTCAAGCAATCCTCCCCAGCACACTCACTTGGTAAATTCAACAATCCTCTCAGCCCATGTGATAAAGCATGGATCAGTGCTCAAAAAGATACAAAATTATATAAGTTTACCTGTACATTGTGTGCACAATTAGGCAAGTTGTATTTTTGAGGATTAATTTCATTATTGAACAACTACAATGCTCTCGGTCAATCCAAAATGTTAATAAACCTCAAACCTGAATATGTAAGAAAGTATAAGTGAGGTTCTGGCTTTCTTAGAATATCTATGTGTGCACAATTATTGGGCAACTATTAGTGTGCAGAATTATTATGCGACAAAATGAAAAATGAAAATTTTCCCATCTCACTTGTTTGTTTTCATCTGTTAAAGTGAGAATAATAAGCAAACAACTCAAAATTTACAAATAAACATTTCTGACATTCCAAAAAATAAAAATATCAGTGACCAATAATGCCACCCTTCTTTTCAATAACAGTCATAAGCCTTCCATTCATGGAGTCTGTCTCAGATCAAGAAAGTGACAATCAATTTTTTGTGCAGCAGCAACTACAGCCTCCCAGACACTGTTCTGAGAGGTGTACTGTTTTCCTTCACTGTAAATCTCCCGTTTAAGAAGGGCCAACAAGTTCTCAATAGGTTTAGGTGAGGCGAGGAAGGGGGCCATGTCATTATTCTTTCATCTTTAAGGCCATTACTGGCTAGGCATGCAGTGGAGTACTTTGATGCATGCAATTGAGCATTGTCCTGCATAAATATCTTGGTCTTCTTGAAAAATGCAGACTTTTTCCTCTACCATTACTTGAAGAAAGTGTCTTCTAAAAACTGGCAGTAGGTTTGGGAGTTGATTTTGAGTCCATATTCAACGCAAAAGGTCCAACTCACTCATCTTTAAGAATACAAGCCCATACCAGTACCCCGTCTCTACCTTGCTGGCGTCTGAGTTGAAGTGGAGCTCTATGCCAGTTACTGATCCAGCCATGGGCCCATACATCTGGTCCATCAAGAGTCACTCTCATCTCATCAGTCCATAAAACCTTTCAAAAATCGGTCTTCAGATATTTCTTGGTCCAGTCTTTATGTTTCAACGTATGTGTCTTGATCAGTGCTGGTAGGGTTTCAGCCTTCCATACCTTGGCCATGTCTCTGAGCACTGAACATCTTTTACTTCTGAGCACTCCTGGTAGGTTACAGTTCTGGAATATGACAGCACTGGAGGTTAATGGGTTCCTGGTAGTTTCATGTTTGATTCTTCTAAAATCTTAGGCAGTTATTTTGCATCTCTTTTTCTCAACATGTTTTTTGCGACCCTGTTGACTATTTGCAACAAAACGTTTGATAGCTCTATGATCACGTCTCAATATCTTAGCAATTTCAAGAGTGCTACATTCTTCTGAAAGACTTTTTACAATTTTTGACTTTTCAGAGTCAGTGAAATCTCTTTTTTGGCCCATTTTGCCTGAGGAAAAGAAGCTACCTAATAATTCTGCACACCTTGATATAGGGTATTGATCTCCGTAGGCCACACCCTCCCGCCTTACACAAATACTCATCACCTAATATGCTTAAATCCAATAAACATTCAAGTTTATACAGCTTGGAGTTGGATAATATGCATAAAAATGATAATCTGGTCAAAATATTCACTTGCCTAATAATTGTGTACACAGTGTGGCTACAAGTGACCAAGTAGAGTTTACTACAACTTTAGGAAAAAAAGAAAAAAAATACACTCACAAAAACTGAACAAAAAATAGGTTTTGCCTTTAGAAATATTTTAAAATTAATGTGCAGGCAGTGCCATTCTACCATTACACTAATGGGCCTGGCAGTGGAGGGATTGAAACAGACTACAGAGAGAAGATATATATGGGCGGCACAGTGGCTTAGTGGTTAGCACTTCTGCCTTGCAGTAATTGGGTCATGGGTTCAATTCCCAACCATGGCGCCTCCTGCATGGAGTTTGCATGTTCGCCCTATGTTCGCGTGGGTTTCCTCTGGGTACTCTGGTTTCCTCCCACACTCCAAAGACATGCTGGTAGGTTAATTGGCTCCTGTCTAAATTGTCCTAGTTTCATCCCTGGCCACATGTGTGATCTCCTGCATGGTAGGGGTTGGGGAAAGACCTGGCAACCTACCCTGTAAAAATAATTGTTAAGAGAATTCATAGAAAAAAAGTCGCTTACGAGTGATGGTCCATGCAATCGCCAAGGGTCGGATACGACTGACTGGGTGTAGATATATATTTTTTTTTTATATAAAGAAGATATAGAGAAAAGAAGATCCTTTTCTTGGAGTAAATCACAGAACACGGAGTAGGGTTATGCTGCCCCTTCAGGTGTGATTAGACACTTGCCAAAAAAGAGGGGAAGTCTCCTCCTAGGCATAAGCCCTCCCCTTTAGGGAAAGCATCAGTTTTTGTAACAAGACAAACTACAAGGCAGAGGGGTGGGATCCCTGTACTCTATGATGTACTCCAAGAAAAGAGTTTTACAGGTAAACCAAAAATCCTACGACACAAGGTATCTTCATCTCCATTACGAAAGTTATGTCCCAAAGCACTAAATATGAGGAGAGGGAAACATGGTAACAAGTCAACAGGCTTCAAACAATAAACCATAAGGCCTAGTTTAGACTGGTGGTTGAGGGGCTTAACCACGCATTTTTCTGCCCACCAACTGCCCCCTCATTAAGCTGCAATAGGCAGCGGAGAGGGACGTTTATATGCCATGGCCGCAATGCTTCACTTCACAACTGCGGCTAGGCTGACTCAACACGTAGCGATTGTGTAGCAGTAAGCCCACCAAAAGCATTACATATGCAAGCCAATTGGAAAGCGCCACAAAGGTCCCACAACCGCGCGCAACGACTGTCGGCAAAAATGGGGTTAAAACAGGAGGGAGCATTTTTTTTTTGTCTTTACGCTTATAGGGAAAATCAGCTTGTCCCCAGGTTTAAAAAGGACTCTGGGATCGATTGTCTCTTGCTGAACTGGAGTTTGGTCCTAGAACCCAGGCCCGAGTTTGGCATATGGAATGCTTCTTGGAAATAAAAGACGCAACAAGTTTTTTTACCTTAGGCTTTTCCTTGTTTTCAAGTGGTAACTGATCACTCTTAGGAACAGCCAGCTTCTGGATGAAATCATCCAAAGCAGGATCAAACAAAAGTACCCTTTGAAAAGGTACATTTTCCACATTTCTTGCTAGGCAATTCTGCTGACCAACACTTCAGCCATAAGATCCTTAATATTAGAACCACATCTACTGGGCATGTGAGGGTCTTGTTGAGATATGAATCTACTGGATCCACTGAAGGCATACTCCATTTTTCAGTGAACTCACTCTCCATTGGGTATTGCTGAGAAAACCTTTTTCAGCTGAATGAACACCTTGTCAGAATGAGCTCATTTCACATACACAAAAAACCCTTTAAATGAGAATGAGCAGGGAAGGATTGAGAATGGTGGATGCCACAAACTAAATCCTGTAACCTAATCTAAATCCCATAACCTTTGGAGAAGAAGACTTGGGGAAGCAGTAATTTTAAATTGGTCTGGACAACTTCGGTTCTGACATAAACTTCACCCTGGGGTAAACAAACTGTCAAGTAATTTTTCAGGCAATTCAAGATACCCCAATTGTGAAAGTGATTACCCTTAAATGGCTGATTGCAAGATGTCAACCACCATAACCAAACGTAAGCAAAACATAGCTTGATCCCAACTCTCATAAGAAGCAGAATTATTCTTTATGTAATTTTTAACATTGCCTGTCAGCCCTTTATTGCACTGCATATTCCAACTGTTTCAGGAGTATCAGGAATGGAAATAGATGGAACAGATTTACTATACTGTACATCTTGCCGTCTCAAGAAATTATGAATTTCTCAAAAATGAATCACAAATCACATTTTTGAATATTTAAAAGTTAGTTATTACATTTTGACATTTAATTAAAATCTGCCTTAATAAAAGCAAACAAGACAATATGACAGTGCACTTACCTGAAATCTACAAGAAGCAATAGCTACATAATCGTTTCCACCATAGGCAATCAGTGAACCTGGACTTCCAGAGTCAAAGGGATTAAACTCCACCACATGCACATAGTCCTCACAGTCCACTGCGTAGGTGGCACCTCTGGTTGTGTCTTGTTTCATCTTCTAGAATTTAGCCTTCTGTTTTACCTAAACTGAACATGTAAAGTAACATTAACTGCAAATACCAAATGAGCAAACATTTGCTACTTAGCTCCAGCATTAACAATTTTCTTTTTGCTCTGCTATCCTCATAGAGGCTAATGTTCATTTTTTTTTCATTTCTGTAACCCCTACCTCCACTCTCATTCCGATGCTGTCTTGCTTAAATCTATTAAGGTGGTTCTAAAGCCTTAAAGTCATACTAAAAGCTTGTTTTTTTTTTTTTTTTTTTTAAATAACAAACATGTCATACTTCCCTGCTCTGTGCAGTGGTTTTGCACAGAGCAGCCTGAATCCTCCTCTTCTTGGGTCCCCCACCAGCACTCGTGGCCCCTCCCTCCCGTCTGGTGCCCCCACAGCAAGCAGCTTGTTATGGAGGAACGAGAGCAGGTGCATTCATTCGCACACTGAGCCGTGGCTCGGCTCCGTCCCCTCCCCTAAGTGGCTTACTAGCTGTGATTGACAGCAGTGGGAGCCAATGGCTCATGCCTCAGCCAAACAGGAGTGAGAATCCCCAGAGAACTGAGGCTCTTGTTGACATCGCTGAATCAGGATGGGGCTCAGGTAAGTGCTAGGGGGGGCTGCTACACCCAGAAGGCTTTTTAACCTTAATGCATAGAATGCATATAGATAACAAAACCTTTAGAGTCTTTAGAACCACTTCCCGACCGCCCACCTGTAATGTACTGCGGATGGGCAGCAGCTACAGGCAAAGCGACACATACCCATATGTGCAGCACACTTCCCCCGCAACCACTGTGCCCACTGGACACACCAGAATGCAGATCCCAGTGAACAAGGATCACAACGTTAGCAAAGCCGTTATGAATCAGATTGATTCATAACAGCTCTGCTTCTCTTCCTGGTGAGCTGTGATTGGCCCACAGCTCTCACATGGTATAGGGGCCAATCACAGCACCCTGTATCATGTGAGCAGCTGAAGCCAATCACAGATCACTGAACTATCATGAACTTAACCATTAGCGCCATTTTCAAATTGGGAAAGCATCTGATCACACCAATCTTGGTTTTAAAGGCAGAGGAGAAATCTAGAGTCTAACAGACCCCAGATTTCTCACAAAAGAGTACATGTCACTGCCTATTGCTATCATAGTGGATATTTACATTCCCTGTAATAAAAATTAAACAGATTTCACCCCCCCTCCCTTCCCATGCTCATACGCAAAGGCTAATGCAAGCATCGGTCCCGTGTCAGTATGTAAACAGAGATTATTATTGATATACAGTATTTATAAAGCGCCAACAGTTCGCTCAGCGCTGTACTTTACAAAGGGAGACAGAACATGCGACAGTACGAAAACAATACAATGTGATACACGAGGGGTTCGAGGGCCCTGCTCTTTCGAGCTTACAATCTAGGAGGGAGGGGATAGTAGTACAGGAGGAGATAGCTGTGGGGAATGGAGTGGTTGGAAGAGTGGAGGAGGTCAGCAATTAGCAGGGGGTGGGGTAGGCTTCCCTGAAGAGGTGGGTTTTCAGGGTGCGCCTAAATGAGAGGAGAGTAGGTGATAGTCTGATGGATTGGGGTAGGGAGTTCTAGAGGATAGGTGATGTCCTGGAGAAATTCTGGAGGCGGGTATGGGAGGAGGAGACCAGGGAACTAAAGAGAAGGAGGTCTTGAGAGGAGCGGAGTGTGCGTGCTGGGTGGTACTTGGATATTAGGTCGGTGATGTAGTTTGGGGCAGTATGATGGACAGCTTCGTATGTCAGTGTTAGGATTTTGAATTTGATCCGTTGTGTAATCGGAAGCCAGTGGAGGGATTGGCAGAGGGGGGTGGCAGAAACGGAGCGGTTGATGAGGTGAATGAGTCTGGCTGCCGTGTTCAGGATCGACTGAAGCGGGGATAGCCAGCGGCGAGGCAGGCCAGTGAGGAGGGAGTTGCAGTAATCGAGTCGTGATATGTTGAGGGAGTGGATAAGCTGTTTAGTGGTTTCTGGAGTTAGGAACGTGCAGATTTTGGCGATGTTGCAGAGGTGGAGTCTGCATGAGTTTGTTAGTGATTGGACTTGGGGCAGAGATTGCATCATGCACGTGAGGTATCATTGCAAACATCAGATCAAGGGCAGAAACTCTAGCACTAGCGTCGCCCAATGATATAAAACATTTACGTAGTTTGTCGTCATTGCACGGGCAATTTTAAAGCATGTCATGTTTTGGTATCTATTTACTTGGTGTAACATCATCTTTTATATATTTTATCAAATATTTTGGCAATATATTGTGCTTTTGTGCAATAAAATTTGAAAACGTGTATTTTTTCCAAATAATTAGCTTTTGAAAAATCACCGCGCAAATACTGTGTGACATAAAAGATTTCAACACCCACCATTTTATTCTCTAGGACCTCTGCTTTAAAAAAAAATAATGTTTTTGGGTTCAAAGTAATTTTCTCACAAAAAAAATGTTTTTTTATTGCGTGATTTACGCCAATGAGTAAACGAAAAGTGTCAGAAAAGGCTTTGTCTTCAAGTGGTTAGAAGAGTGGGTGATGTGTGGCATAAGCTTCTAATGTAGGCTATGAAATGCCAGGATAGTAGAAGCAACCCCCCACCTCTTTTTGGAAAGTAGACAGTCCAAGGTATTTTCTAAGGGGCATCGTGAGTATTTTGCAATAAATAATAAATACTTGTGAGCTATTATGAATGAGGCATTCAATGGGTAATAAATAGTTATTAATGTGCTTGGTGCGCTGGCACTTACACAGACTCACTTACTAGTGTTTGTTCAGTAATAAAAATATATTTATAGTGCCGCGCTCCTGATTTTATATATATGTAATTACCGGTAGATACAATCTACTCTCATTCTAATAAATGTATATATTGAAACCTAAATGAAATCCATAAATCACTATAACTAGTGAATAAAATCAATTGTAAATCACTGTGACTAGTGAATCAATAAAAAATGAATAATTATAAATAAATCAAAAACCTTAATTAGTATGGCTGATATCAATCAATAAATAGCCTTAATTAGATGTGACTAATAAATAAATACAAATGGGGTGTGTATAGATACTTAGTGCCACTCTAATCAATCCATCAATATTGTGCAAAAACATATATAAGTGTGCATGTGCAAACAGTATAGTACATGAATAAATAAAGTCTTTTGAAATAAGTGCAATGTGCAGGTGAGTTCCTTATTCCCTCTCGCCAGGTGCCTTGTGGTCTCCCTATGCGCTCACCTTAATATTTGCCTAAATATTGATGGATTGATTAGAGTGGCACTAAGTATCTATACACACCCCATTTGTATTTATTTATTAGTCACATCTAATTAAGGCTATTTATTGATTGATATCAGCCATACTAATTAAGGTTTTTGATTTATTTATAATTATTCATTTTTTATTGATTCACTAGTCACAGTGATTTACAATTGATTTTATTCACTAGTTATAGTGATTTATGTGAGTATTTTGCAGATCTGATTTGTTGTCACAAGTTTTTGTAAAATGGAGAAAGAAAATGAAAATATATTTTTTCCTTTTGTTTTTAAAACCCAGTGAAAAAAAATTATATCTGCAAGATACTCGCCATGTCTCTTATCAAATTCCTTGGGGTGTCTACTTTCCTAAAAGGGGTCATTTAGAGGTAGATTGTACTATTCTGGCATTTTAGGGACTCCAAAACTGTGACAGGTAGTGAGCAAGTGATATGAAGAAATATGTTCTTTGAAAGCCTGTATGTGGCTAGGCTGACAAAAAAAAAAAATTGTCGTCATTTTCCAAAAATTTGAGCCAAAAAAAAAAAAAAAAAAAAATCTATGAACTCAACATGCCACTCAGCAAAGGCCTTGGGGTGTCTGCTTTCCAAAAAGAGGGATTTTTGTAATGCCATGGCATTTTAACACCCCAAGAATTGTGATAGGCAGTCAGAAAATAAAAGCTGCATTGATTTCTTATATATATATATATTTTTTTTTTTATCACACACACCGTTTGTAGACGCTATAGCTTTCACACAAACCAATATACACATTTTTTTTTTTTTACCAAAGACAGGTAGCAGAATACATTTATGACGAACGTTTAATTTACTGAATATTTTTTAAAAATTTCAGTCTTTTTTCATTTATAAATCACAAAAAAAAAAAAAGAACCCAGTGATGATAAATTATCACCCAAAGAAAGCTCTATTTGTGTGAAAAAAAAAAAGTATTAAATTTAATTTGGGTACACCATTGCATCACCACACAATTACTAGTTGAAAAAGTGCAGAGCCGAATAGGGAAAAATGGCCTGATCATGAAGTTAGGGGGGTGTAAATCTTCCGGAGTTGAAGTGGTTATGGTTTCTTTGCTACAGGATCCTCCCCAGCCTCCCCTTATTCTTACCCAAGCCTATCCAGCGATGTGCACAATAACCACTATCTCCCTCCTCAGTGAGCAGAATCAAATGCGGTGACGAGCGAGTGGGTAAAGTGTACCATGTTTATTAATTTAATAAAAAAAAAAAAAAATGAAGTTTTAATGTCACTTTAAGTTTACATCTATGTTCAGATATACTACAGAATAGTATGAAAAAATATTTTTATGAAAAGTAAAGCCCAACTCCGGGCACAGTGAATTTAATTGTGATAAAGCTATGAAGACTCTGCTCACTCAAAAGGCAACTCCCATGATGAAGTCTAGTATATTTTAAAGCAGAGTTCCAGCTGATTTTGTGTTTATTAAAATCCAGCAGCTACAAAAACTTTAGCTGCTGACATAATAAACACACACACTTACCTGTCCCGGAGTCCAGGGATGTTTTCATCCACGCCATCCCTTCTCTCCTCCACGGCGCTGGCATCTCAACTGTGGGCACCAGGCTGTGACAGCTTGCGGCTGGGTGCCCACTGCACATGTGCGAGTCGCGCTGTGCCTCCTAATTGATCCATCAGTTTTCAGGGACCTGTGAAAGTTCTTGGAGACTGCGGGAGGGAGGAGGGGG